CAACGCGTAAAAAGACAGTATAAGTCATTATAATCAGTAATTATGTCCCCACTGGATGCAACAAATGCCTCGTTTGTAATGGGTTTTATTGTTTTTGTCTTGTCGCGCCGGGACACAGGGCATCACAGTATGTTAAGGGGCGTAACATTTCCATCACACGCTTGAGGTATTCAGCCAATCACAATGCACTGGATAGCCGGCCAATTAGCGTATACCTCACTTTTCAGAATGATGAGCTTTGTAAAAATCAACGCGTTTCAGAAAGGCGGGGCATAGAGGAGCAACAATAATGTACATTATGTGGAAAATAATGTTTTTTTAACCTTAAACCGCATAAACACAGTGCATTACAAATACACAACATAATGTTCTTTTTAGCAACGTCATATGACCCCTTTAAGTTTCAGTTATAGCTATTTACATAGCTTTTTTTTTTTTAAGCTATTTTACAAGCTATTTTTTAAATTTCTGTTAACATTAAATTCATTTCATTTAACGTAAAAAAAAAATTTTTCTTTTACATTTTTAGTTTTCGTTTATTACACTGGTTTGGATGACTTTAGGTTGAATAAATAACAGCATTCATTCATCCATTTTTGGGGTGAACTATATCCATTTAAATGTCACATTTAGTTATTTTCTATTGAACAGTTACCCAAATAAACTTTTATTGCATTGCTTGGAAGAAAAACAGATCTAATCTGACAATGGTAAAATAACTTATGATTTATGATTATAGCAGTTCTCCAATTCCTGAGTCGCTCCTACTTAGGATAGAACCTGCAACCTTTGTGTTAACAGCTTAAATCCTAAACCACAAGGCTATCGCCCGCCTCCACATTTAGCAGAAATTCTGCTAAACTTTTCGAATGTGTAGGCTGCATGGATCAGGAATGGGTGAATAGATACTTGAAGCATAACTGAAACAAAAGACATGACAAAAACAACCATTCTGAGCAGTAGGCAGGCAGGCGTGCTGAGAGCTGCCAGCTCAAAAGAGTCTCTCAGGAATCATTTGTTTGTCAGTTATGAAGCATGAATTCATGTGGTGTGTACACGTCTGTCTTTTCACTGGAGCTTTTAGGTTTATCTATAGCAGATATATCTTCAGTTTCTTACCTGAGAGCCGTCCTCCGCACCTGTAAGTCCATTGACTGATTGATCTTACTCTGATCTGCTGCCCTCTCCATTTGACTCTCAATAATCTGTGAAAGAGAGTTCGGGGAGGAGAGAGTGAAAGAAAACCACAGGACTAGAAATCTCTGATGTCTAAGAGGAAGATGGTTTTTACCTCTCTCATGCAGTTAATGTGATGATATCGGCTTTCTTCCTGTGCCGTCTCTTCCCTGAGCATCCTCACTTCCTGTATAACATCAGGACATTAAATCACTGCCTGCTCTTGTATATTCAATATTATTTCATAAGATGCTAAAACAGTCAAGTTGAGACCAAGGTTGGCTGTCTTTGAATTTGAGTTAGAATTTGAACATCCACAGAATGCTAAAATTGAATCTGAACTGGACTAAGAGGAAGAATAATTGAGGTTCAAATAAATTCAACAAATTTTATTTCTGAGTTATAAGCCTGCTTAATGTTGTTTGGATATCTATATACAAAAATCAGAAAGGACTATACATTTAATTTTTCCAATATATGTGTGTGTGTGTGTGTGTTTGTTATTTATTTATTCATAATGTAATATTATTTATTAATTAAATATAATTTTATGCTTTAATATTGTTTGGCTCCATTTTTAAAACATGAAAAAAATTCTCATTTTAATTTTGATTAAAAAAAACAACATTCTGGGAAAAGAAGTGCTGTTCCCCCATAGTGTATAAAATTAAAGTTATTTTATTACATACAATTAAATTATGTAAGTTTATAGAGAATTAAATTTACATATATTTATAATATAATATATATATTTATTTATTTATTTTATTTTATTTTTTTTAAAGAAACTCTCAATTCAGTATCAATGTTACAAAACCCTGGTAGAGCCCCATAATACCTGTTCCAACTTGGACCTGTTGCTCTCCAGTCCTGCAGCACAGGTGTCATACTGAGCCTTCTTTTGCTCAAACTCTGGAGCGAGCTCCTGTTTTAACAAGCAAAACAAAAGAGAATGCAATTCTGACATAGCTGATATGCTGATTGGCTCTTCGTAGTTGATAGTGATTGTATCTTCAGTATCTTGCTTGATGCGAAACAGTCACTCACCGCGTGTTCCTGTCTCAAAGCTCTCAGGTCCTTTATCAGAGGAGATAGAGCAGACTTCTTCTCTGCTATCACCGAATTCAGCTTCTTTACCTGAAATAAACACAAATCTTCATGACAGATGATGACCCGAGAGTGAATCAACCAAATGCATACAAATGAGTGAGTTAAAGAAACTTATCCACAAGAGTTTTAGTATTTTTTTAATATACGGTATTTTAATAAAAAAAGCATGTTTGGGAAATTGGTCACACTTTATTTTAAGGTCAAATTTTCACCATTAACAAACCATTAACTATGACTTTTGGCTCAATAAACACCTAATTTGCTGCTTATTAATAGTTAGTATGGTAGAGTTAAGTTTAGGTATTGGGTAGGATTAGGTATGTAGAATATGGTCATGCAGAATATGTGCTTTATAAGTACTACTAAACAGCCAATATGTTAATAATAGGCATGCTAATAAGCAACTAGTTAATAGTGAGAATTGGTCCCTATACTAAAGTGTTACCGGTAAAATTACCATTATTATCTATCAAAAAGAGTTTAACACTTTATTAGCACTTTCTTCTTTACAAGAATGGTGCTTTATAAACAACTGAACCTGCCCAAATCACTTCTACTGACATTCTGTTTATGTCTGATTATCTTGGGTGTCAATAGGGAGTTGTATCAGACAAACTGTGCACTCCTGTGGCAAAATAAACTCCTCTAGAAAGTTTATGAACTCATTAACGTTCCCCAGTCATATGCATATGGACAGTCTCCCAAAACACAGAACAGAACATTTGGAGAAAGCAACACATTTCAAGATCAGAACTAGTGCATCATTCTCCAATCTGCCTGGCCCAGCTCACCATTTCAGACATATCGTCCAGTGTTCGTCCCTTCATCTCGTCCAGCTCGCTCTTAATAGCGGAGACTCTCTCCAGCTCTTCCTGAGTATCGCTGTAGCCCGAGATCCCCCGCTGAGCCTCCAGAGATTGCTGAGCACCAGAACACAAACAAAGCATAAATAGAACAAATGTTTATTCGCCTTGTCAATTTGATTAGATTACTTACTGAAATGCTTGATTATTTGCATACAGTAAACAATCAATGTTACTGAAAAACGGCGAGCTGCATAATTTCAGCCCACAAATCAAACAAGATCTGAACCATATTAGCCAACGTTTGTAGCGACAATCTTATAATGAAATCAAAATTGACCCTATTTACTTCCATAATAAATGTCCCTGGTCAATGTGCATGATTCATCAGAACATGTTGTTCCAAAATAAAATCTTTTCATTATATTTCATCAAAATGTCATAATGGTCTCTGCCTCTTAAATGACTTTTCATGTCTGCTTTTGTGACTAAAATTACATTAACCGATGATATCACAGGCAGCCAATAGCAATACGATCACATCTAGATGGATAAAAACAAGTACCGTCTTACATTATATGCTAATGAATATTCTGGTTATTGCATTAGAAAGTGATGATTGTATTTTGATATTCTAAAATATGAAATAACTGTGAATGTAGTTTTATCTATAACATAAATGTTGGATGTTACAGAAGCCTGTTTCTGCCACAGAATAAAAAAATAAAGGTAATTACTGAGTTTGTTTCTCACATTTCGGACTTTTTTTTCCTGCAATTCTGTGTTTATATCTAAAGAAATCGTCCAAATTATGAGATATAAACCTATAATTCTTTATCCCGTGGTGGAAACAAGCTTCCATAGGATGTGTCTGCAGTGACAGTGTAATGTTCAAACACTTTCTGAAGGGTCGTGTCTGTACAGACAGCCAGAACTCAAAGCCATAAATCGCAGTGCAAAGCACTTTATTTTCTTTATACAGAGGGAACTTCACAGGTCAAGCTGAAACTAACGGCTATGGGTTTTATAATAGGACAAAAATGTGCTGAGCATTATTTCTGGGGAGATTACATGACTAATCACATTTAGACACTTCAGTACGGCTCAACTCAATTTAGCTTCATCTAGACATTTTGGACTAGTCAGGGAAAATGAAGAACTTTGCAAATATTATGGGTGTAGTGGTACAACCCTTTCACAATTCGATTTGTTTGGGCTCTGTGGTCAGTTTCAGTTTAGTTTGGTAAGCACTTGGTATGTCACTATTGAAGGAGCACAGATTAGTAAATTACCAATACTGATAACTTTTTTTTATCACTGTAATCAATGAATGTAATTCTACCTATATCATGTTAATCCTTCATTTCTATTGGGTACAAGACGTGAGGACATATTTTATAGGCTGATGCATTTGTAATGCTCTTGATAGAGATGCACTTTGCACATGACACGACATGTGGAACGAGTGCGTTGGCGGGGGTTTGACTGATGCCCAGGCCGTTTGAGAAGATCAGGTGCCAAAAGGAGGGGTGGCCCAGGCTCGTGCAACCAACCACAAAATGGAATAGGAAAATTCCCCTACTCAAAAAATAACAGCATAGGACGCAGACAGGGAGCAAATGCCGGGATCATAAATAGCCCAAGCTCAGCCTTTCTGCGTCAAATGGGCTTTTAGCAAGTCAGAGACTGGGAGGGTTCAGAGGTGTGAAGTCATTTCCAGGAAGGTGCTGTAACTTCAGCGTTAATGCAATTTGAATAGACAGGGACGGGTACAGGGAAGGTAGATTATGTACCAGTGCGTATAAGATGGTGAAATGATACGCTGATAGACACAAGCTAAAACACCAGTGATGTTTGAAGAACAAAGGTCCAATTCTTGAATTTGAATTGGTGTAATAAACAGGACGCAGAATTGCAGTTTGGAATTGAATGTAAGGAGGTGGAATTAAAATAAATTGAAATGAAAGAAATACATTTGAGAATGAAGCAAGTTGTAAAGTTTGGCTTGAAAAACACTTATTTGAAAGTTTCAAAAAACATTTGAACAAAATATCAACGTTAATAGACCTCGTGGACAGAGAGAATGACAGAATGATGGATAAATGTGTTTACCAGCTGCTGTTGTCCAGCTGTGTGTCGCTCTCTCAGGATTTCTTGAGTCCTCTGTAGAACACCATACTCCACCTTCAGCTCAGCGATCTCCTGGCGTTTCTTCTTATAAGTGCTGCTCTTGCCACGCATCTTGGCCACATATCGCTTAAACTAAAAAACAGGATAAAAACACAAAGAATCTTAAGACATGAAAAAAATACAATAAAAACTGAAAAGAAAACCCAACAATAATAAAATGAAAAGGACAATAAAGTAAAAAGGGACAAGAAAAAAAAAAAAAAAAATATCTAGGAAAAATTAAGTATGGGCAATGGGCATACTCATTTTTGCAAGTTTTCACTATTTGAATCTCCTTTTTGCCTTCACTAGTTAATTTTAAATGCTCCTGTGGTGTGAAAAATGACTTTTTAAAGACATAAGCACTCAAGTAGTTTCGCAATTAATCATAGATTAATTTTAGGTCATCAAATCCACATGCATAATAATTATTAAAAACGTGTGAAATGCGGTTTAAAATTGTTTTATGTCAAGTCACCGTTATTTATATAGCCCTTTTTACAATGCAGATTGTGTCAAAGCAACTTTACAGTATTAAACAGGGAAATAGTGTGTCAAAATAGTTTTCAATTCAATTCAAGTTTATTTGTATAGCGCTTTTCACGATGCAAATCACTGCAAAGCAGCTTTACAGAAAATTGAAGTTTCTACATTATAGTGTAGTGAAATAGTGTGCCGTTCTCCTCTGACCAGACGAGACCAGCCGTTTAATTCTAAGTTGCAACAAAGTCAGATTGTGCAGAGGACTCATCTTGAAGTATGTATGAAGCATAGCATGTCACACAGCAGGACATTACCAAAAAATATGTCTATTTCATGTCAACTACTCATTAAATATTTAAAAAAAAAAACATAAAAACTTAATTAACAGCAAGTACTTAGAAATTATGGACAGTGAATACTTGTATGTAGACAATAACATGGACACTCAATAAGTGAAAAAGGAAATCCAATTCCATACAACAGAGTCAGTAGAATCTGCTGTGCAATGAGAAAATGTGACAGGATATTTCAGAAGGGATAAACAGATCACAACACACAATGAGCCCTGGTTGAGTGACTGTGTCTCACTAATGACTACAAACAAAGCAAAGCCACGGTCTCAAATAGGAAAATGGTACTGACATGCAAACACCACCTGCGCTGCATGTACATGTACAGGGTTAAGGGATGCAATGAGACAAAGTCAGGGGAACATTGTGGCCTTGGCTCCATCTCCGGTAAGGTGAGAGTCTCTAGGAGAAAACAGCTCTGAGGAATGAGTGGGTGTGAAGAAGGGGCAAACCAGAGTGCCGCTGGGACATCTCAGTGGATCTCAACAAAAGAAACCTGAGACCGCAGACATGCAGCCAGAGGGACAAAAAACATCTTCATTTGGCAGCTCGTTCGCTCAGGCTATTCTTCTCTCAGTACTGCCAATGGCTATAAATGTTGAGGGGCACCGGAGAGCAAACTCAGAAATCACACAATGTGCCGTATGTCACTTGGGGCACGCAGAGATTGTGTGTGAGAGTTTATGCTTTGTGTATTTTGGGACAGCAAGGGCAGACAAGGTTGGTGCGGTTTGGGAGGGGAGCTGCAATAATGCCTCGCTGTGTTCTCAAGTTCCTTCACTGCAAACAATTGAAACAGTAACACATGAGCATTTAAATGCTTTCTTACGGGTTCAATTTATGTTAAGCTCAACAGACAACATACATAATATATGTATGTGTACTGTGTATATATATTATGTATATATAAATACACACACATGCATTCATCATTTTGTCACGATGTCTTATAAACTTTTGTCTGTTTGTGAGGTTGATGCTGTATGAATTGCCCTGTGAAGGGACAAATAAAGATTTACTACTACTACTACTACTACTATACATACATACACTCTACTCCACTTTCCTGCAACACTGCAAAATCTGTAGCTTTAAAATTTGTCAAACTGTGATGTATTGTTCTTCTATTGATCACGTCTGTAAGTAATGAAAGTAAACTCGTAGGTCAGAGTTCACCAAACTTGAACTTGTAATATTCATGTTTGTTGAACTCTGACCTAAGAGTTTACTTTCATTGTACTTTAAAGCCAAAAGCATACTTCTCCTCCATGTTCCACTTCATCTCAACAATGCATCTTCGAGTGATTTGAGCATTTTAAAAGAACGAGCCGAAAACGTCCATCCATGCTCATTGTGAAAAGAGGTTTGTGTGCGCACCTGTGTGCGAGACTGAGTAGAACACGAAAAAATAAGTAAACCTGAGCCTTAAGTGTCTCACACCAGGATTTTTACTTTTTTAAAGAAAAAGAGGGTTAAGTAGAAATTATTTTTTGTTGTAACTACCATAATACCACAAGTGCTGTCAACTGAGCTGAATTTGTATTGAACTGCCTCCAACTTATCTAACTCTGTTGCTTTCAAATATTGTACTAAAAAAAATCATCTTCTGAATTCCTTTTAAAATGTTTGTTAACTCATAACTCATTTTTTAAAATTAATTTTAGAAATCAGCAGAAAAAGTTAGAAATCCCATTTAGAAATCCTAACCCTAACCCTAGGAACATGGAACTCTGTTCCCCCCTCCCCATTATCTGTGTTTAAGTTAATTTTGAGTGATAGCTGGGTCTCTCACTGCACCAAAAGCCATTCTTCCCTTCTGTTTCCCTCTACATTGTGCCACAAGTTGACCATACTTGGTTATTATCTATTTCAGAGGCTCAGACTTGCACATCCCTATCACATCTATAGACACACACTCTCTCTATAGTTTCAGCTATCCATCACTTGGCTGCTGCAGTTCACGGTTGGATGAGCCATGGACAGAAGTGCATGTTATCATGGAGAGGCTGATAAAATCGCAGGAAGTCCAGAATTGGGGGAGGGATGGTGGCTATTTTAGCCAGGGTGCCGCTCTATCTGCTCGGTCCTGCCAATATCTCTGCCCAAGGCCAGCCAGGGAATGGAACGTCTGCTTGTAAAAAAAAAAAATGCATACAGACAGCAAAAAGTGATGGCAGGATAGTTCACAGGTCTCAGAAACAGACACAGGCCTGTTCATCACTGACAGTTACTCCGGGAAATCTCCTGGGAAAAAAACATTACAGCTCTGGCTCCGGGGCCAGTGTGAGAAAGTTCGAGCCAGATGACATAACTGTCACCTGCTCTTTTGGAGCAGTGCTGCATAAAGGGGTAATTCACTGCTGGCAAGATGGGCTTTTATTAAACACTTGCCTGTCTATGCTATAGAAACCTGAAAAACGGTTTAAAATAGAATGCAATAAAAACATGACCAGAAAAAAAGAGAAAAAGGACAGTGGTGTTCTCTTTTGACAAAAACTTTTGATTTTGGTGCCATTCTTCTGTCCATCCAAATAGGAATAAACAAAATGCAGAAGTGTGATCTATAGTTTTAAAATAAAAGCCCTGGAGTTGTCAAAAATCTGCAAAATTCCACCTGATGGTGCAAAACGTGCATCTGGCTGACTTTTCCTGACAAATAAATGCTACAAATAACACAAAGTAGTTCATTTACATATACAACTGCCATTGAAACAATACAAAGCTGGTTGAAAATCTGCAAACTTATCCTTTAAGTGTACATACTGTATGTTTTTATGCCTTGCATATTTGGTTTTCTATGATACACGAAACAAGCAAATTCTGATCATTTAGGTACATTGCAAAAAGTAAAGTGATCTAACTGGTTATTATAGTAGTTTTAACACAACAAATGTTGTAATATTTCTAAACAGAACAGGATGAACAGCTGTGTTTCTATGTGTTGTGGATAGTGACTGTGTGTTTTCAGTACCTCATCTCCACGGATCAGCTCTGCTCCACCCCGCTCTCGTGCCTGACTGCTCTTCATGTTCATTTCTCTCTCCACAGCTGCCAACTCCTCACGGGCCTCCTGCAACTCCTCCACCTTGGTTTCCTTCTTACGGACTATAATAGCAGCCTAAACACACAAATGTACTTTTTACACAAATGTATTTATTTTTAAATAACTTTTTGCTGGTTTATTGACTCCCACATTTTCTTAATTCAAATTTTAACAAGGATATAAATAGAAAGTTTTCATTTTAATTTAAGTTTAGTTTTTTATATATTTTTTGTTTTTGTTTAAATATTAATAAAAATGAAACTATGAATTTGTTTTTTGTTTTTTTAAGTACGATTCTTCACTTTCTTTTATTGAAGATGCGCACAAGATGCTCTCTGGAAAATATTAAATCATGCTGGAGCACATTCAAGCAAAAGTGGGCCAAACTCAACACTAAGACATTCTGAAATTCATGTGTATTTTTAAATGAAACTTTTCACCCAAATTGCCATGCTGATAAACAAATGCAATTTGTCATGAAAAAAAGAAATTATGCAAAACAGAAGAATTCTCACTCGTGATGGTTTTAGAATGCATTTTTGTGTTCTACTGCACTGCTTTAACATTGTTTTTCTATGTAAACATGTGCTAGACGGCTTGTTTGACAAGGCATTCGAACACAGAGGACTGTAAAAAGAAGTTTGCCTTTTAAAAAACACATATCTAGACCTTTTTTTCCATTCCACTGCCCAACATTTCACATTTTTAAATGCAAAAACTGTCAATGGTCCCATAGACCTTTGGAAACCACTGTCTGTAGTAGGAAGATCAGTTGCCTGGGACAAAGGTTAATTATTCAGTCTTGTTGTCCATCAGAATGCTGCCGCTGACCAATCAGAATCAAGAGAGCCGTTTAATAGGCTATAATAATGGACATCTGGCAACTACATATGAAAGAAATGCACATTGTTGTATTAGCAAATCAGAGAACATCAAACATTCTTTCAAGTTCAAAAGATATGCAGGACAAGTGCATCCTCTCTCCACACGGGTACGAACGCCACATGGTCATCTATACTCTGTTTCTCCATTCTGGGCACGCTGGGCTTCAAAGGGCTTAAGGGGCAAATACTAAATCACACCGTACTCAACGCTGCATGAATAAAGATTGCCCGCAAAATAAAGTTTGGGCAGAAATCCCACCTCTCAGATAAAAAAGAACAACACCTGTTCAAGCAAAGTCAAGTAAGTGATGAGAGAAAAAAACAGAGATGACACCTTACCTGCTGTCTGAACAAAGAGAGTTTATCATCCATTGGGTCGTTACGCATCATCCTCTTCTCAATCAGATGGTTGATCTCTGTGTTGGTTTCTCTGATCTAATGAACAAAAGACAGTTCATTACTACAGTGGTGGCTAAAATTATTAGAACACTAGTATTTTCACCAGCTAAAAATGGTTTGAAGTCAGTTATTTCTATCTTTTGCTGTAGTGCGTCAGTAGGAAATATCAGTTTACATTTCCAAACATTCCTTTTGCCATTAATTGTAATAATCCAGTGAGATTTTTGTCTGACAACAGCCAGTGCTCCACACAGAGATCTGATCTCATCATCATCCAGTCTGTCTGGAATGACATGAAGAAACAGAAGAAACTGAGACAGACTAAATCCAGAAGAACTGTGGCAACGTCTCCAAGATGCTTCAAGAGACCTCCCTGCAAAGCTACAGTGCTGTTAAAAGTTTTAGGCACTTGTGTAAAAATGCTGTAAAATGAGGATGCTGTCAAAAATAATAAATAGATTTTCTTTATTAATTAACTTCTATTAACTAAATTAAATCAACATTTGTTGAGCAGCTTTAGCAGCTTTTGCCCTAGGTGCACTTGCACATTGTTTTTGGTGAAAATACTAGTGTTCTAATAATTTTGGCCACCACTGTATCTACAGGACATTCAAAAGTTGCAGGGACAGTAAAAGAAAAATACAGCAAAGATGCATTAAATTAATCAAAATTGACAGTAAAAACATCTATAATGTAACAAAAATGTTCTATTCTAAATAAATGCTGTTCTTTTGAACTTTCTATTCATCAAAGAATCACGAAAAAAGCTGTATAGCTGTTTACACACTTTCTTTAAACAGCACAACTGTTTTCAACACTGATAATAATAAGAAATGTTTCTTAACCAAAGGATCAGCATATTAAAATCATTTCTGAAGGATCACGCCTACATGTTTTATACTGTTCTTTGTTCAAACTTTAACATTAAGAGTCACATCCATGTACACTGACTGACCTTGTCCTCCAGCTCCCTCAGTTCTGCTTGGCCCAAAGCAGGCTCAGACGCCACCTTCTGGAAGTACTGCACCACCTTTCTCATGTTCTCCAGCTCTCTGGGCAGCTTCTCAGACACCATGTAGGAGTTGAACTTAATGTCCTCCTCGAGTCTCTTCATAAGGCCTGTGATTAGTATTACATGCATGTTATCTTTACAAATAAAAGTACTAAAGTGATCTTGCTCTGTGCCACAACACTTGTCTATTGCAGTGAGAGTGTAATAAGATTCAGTGGACATCATAAAAAAACTGTTGTGGAGTTTTGAAACTTGCAATGTGAGAACACAAGAAATAAATGCACTATGAATAATTCCTTGAAAGATGTGTAAAACAAGGTTTGAGTGACTAAAGGTTAAAAAAAAACTAATCAAAATCATCATTGAAATATACGTTTTTTTTGTTTAAATCACTCACATAAATTTTTTTTAGTATGGGTGTGCACTGGGAATCGAACCCATGACCCATGCTTAAACTCTGAGTGATTCTGGGACAAGTGTCTTTAAGTATAGCAACTTACTCTCTGGCTTTTCATCTGCGGCTGCCTGCTGCAAGTCTTTAAGCTGGATCTGACATCTCTGCAGTCTCTGCTCTGCCTGGAAGAGCTACACCAGAGATGAAACACAGCCTGAGCCATCAGAATGTCCAGGAGACAATAACTGATTCAACAACTGGTCATGGAGCTCCAGTGAGGTTCTTCAGACATGATGTATTTGTGCAGGTATTCAGACTGTCTCTACCTGGTTCTTCTGCTCCTGTTTCTGATGAGCAAGAGATTCTTCTCTTTCTTTTTCCACTCTTAGCTGTCTGGCCAGTTCCAGCATGCGTTGATGGGTTGACACTGCCTCCACCTAGTGGAGAAGAATAGTATCACAAAAACCACGAAACCAGAATAAGTACAGTTGTTTCACATTTACTATGCTAAATAAGTGAATTGTCTGGAGTGGATTTGAATATGGTTAAAACTGGGACTTGCAAGGAGTTACAATCATGCACGTATATGGAATTTTCAGATCCAATTTGAGCTCCAGAACTTTTGCGGCTATGAACATTTCAGAAGTAATTATTTTATAATTGTTAAATAATTAATTAACCTAAACCTATTTTATTTTTATTTCACATGCTGTGGTGGTCTTTTATTTTGTGTGGATTTAAATGCATTCATTATTCCATTTATGCCTTTTAAACTGTGACCTCAGCACCTTTTCACTTTGATAGTTCTCTGCAAATGTGTGTATTTGCAGGTGCGATTCCATCATTTTATTTAGTTTCACAAACAGATTCTATAGGATTCTGTCTTTCTTACCCTCTTTTTAAGCCGCTCCACCCTTTTTATGAGTTGATCCTTCTCCTCCTCCATTGCAACAATGTCCTGCAGCGACACATTGTTATTGTGCATATAATACAAAACTCTACATGACCAGATGGGACTTCAGCAACACTGGCTTTCTTACCCGACGGATCTCAGCGGTGGAGAAACCTGAGCTCTTCAGCTGTTCACACTCTTTGTGGATGTTCTTGAATCCCCCCACCAGCTCCTCATACTATGAAAACAATAGAAAGAAAACATTAGAATAAATCACAAAAAAATTAACATCTATTAATCTAAAATGATGCACAAACACACAAACAGAATCTATAGTAGGTCCACAAACAGGGCTAAAAAAGGCTTTAAAGTTCACAACAAGTGATGAAAGGCTTTTAAAAGAAAAAAAGTAAGCAACCATGATTATGGGTACACAATGTATAATTTAAAAGTACAACTTCATTCATCCACCTCTAAATACTATATATGCTCTTTTTACTAATAATTTCATTATTTACCAGCAATAAACATTTAAATTAAATGTTATTTAATTTCTGATAAATTAAAGAAAATATTATGATATATATGTAAACTTATAAAAGACACCAGTCCGCACTCTCCATGTGTAAAGTACCAGAATACACTATTATAGAAAACAAAACAGAAGAAAATAGAATAGAATCTAAAAAACAATGTTTACTAGATAGTTAGAAACTAGAAAAATTTTAATTTGCTAAACATTTCCTCACCCTCAGGCCATATAAGATGTAGGATGAGTTTGTTTCTTCATCAGAGCATACTTGGAGAAATTTATGCTCTGCAGTGAATGGGTGCCGTCAGAATGATAGTTTGAACAGCTTTTCACTTCACAAGTTATTAACTGATAGTCTGAAGTTGTGTTGTGGATTATTGTGATGTTTTTATCAGCTGTTTGGACTCTGACATTCTGACGGCACCCATTCACTGCAGAGGATCCATTGGTGAACAAGTGATGCAATGCTAAATTTCTCCAAATCTGTTCTGATGAAGAAACAAACGCATCTGAATCTTGGATTGCCTGAGGGTGAATACATACATTTTCAGAAATCTTTCATTTTTGGGTGAGCTATTCCTTTAAGCCATATGTTCAATGTAGTTATACCTGGTGGAAGGTCTCAGCAATGATATCATCTTGGAGAAACTCAGCAGGAATCTCTAGTTTGACGAGGAACCTGGCCAGGTACGCTCTCTTCTTCAGCTCTGGAATCCTCTGTAACAGCCAGTGCAAGATGGGGTGCACCACAGGCTTACTGCCTATCACCAAACCCTGACGAAAACTGCTTCTGTCAAGGTATACACATTCCAAAGCGGATTAGACATTTAAAACTTAAAAAGTACAAGAGCAAAAATAAAACTTTTGAATCCATTTCATCTTACGGTTTCTGTTTCTTTCTCCAGAAAACAAACCTGGCTGGCACCCAGCTAAGCTACTGTATGATACCCATGTGTACTAAGACCACTATTTTACATATTCTGTACAGTTTTTCACTATTTCTATCTTACACTTCAGACATTCCTCCAGGAGGTTTGTATTTCAGCATCCCAAGAAGAGTAAACATTCTCTTAGCTGTCTGCTCAGGCATTTCCTCACGTATATCAATGGCTTGCTGAAAGAAAAGATAAATGGATCGAGACAAGATAAAGTGTAAACAGCCGATTAGAGGGAACACAACATAAAAATAAACCTGACAGATAGGGTCTGTATAACACACCAGTTTATAAAATACAAATGTAATGTAATATGAAATAAATAAATTAATAAAAACAGATCACAGGGACACAAAGAATACTGTTCTGTACTGTTATTTATTATATTATATTTATATAAGGTTACTTATTTTACTTTGCATTTGGATTAATAAAGATGTAATTTGTATTAAAAGATAATTTCTTCACTCACCTTTGGATCAATTTCAGCCAGAACATCATTTATAGTCTGCAGTAACTGCATTGGCTCCAGAGAGTCAAATGTAATGAGATTGAAGTTTTTCTTAAAAGGCTCCCTGTTCAGCTGTTCAACGATCAATTTGAGCTGTTCGCTCATCTTGAAGAGTTTGTGGGTTTTCAACTAACGTTAGCTAACTTTCGAGCTAATTATCGAAGTATAACTTAGTTCTCCGAGCGCTGTCACAGAACGTCGTTTTTTATTTGACTTTAGCAAAATGAAAATGATAAATACTTGTATACGCTGTGTAGCTGTGTGTACCGCTAACACAACAACAAATTCTGCCTAGGAACCGTTGTCACACAAGGCCTGGTTGCTAACAGGAAGTTGGTCATCTGAAGAGATTTCTTGTTTTTTAAAATAAAAGTCTTTTAAAAGACTTTTAATGGTTTCTGCACTGCAAAAGAAAAAAAAGGTTTAGTACTTGTTTGAAAGAAAATATCATAAAGGATCATTATATATAAGCAAAACAATTATAGGACAATTTTTTAAACACTTCAAATGTGATATATAATATCATTATTTCATTTGTCATTTTATTTCATTTTTTTATTTATTTAGGGTGTTATTTTATTTAGTTCCAAATATCTACTGATTACTAAATAAACAGACTAAACTTATATATATATATATATTTAACTTAACTTAAACTTAATAAGACTTAACTTATAACATATAAGTAGTATTTAAAATGTTAAAATATTACCTTTAGAACCAGGGGGTTCAACTACAGGTCCGTACTTCAGGCGGTCCATTGAAAAGATATATAATTCCCCCCCTCCCCCCATTTTTAAATGCAAGCAAACACTACATAATGATATGATAAGCAGAATATAATGTTAAAATGTTAGTGTTTTTAATAAAAAGGTGGGCCTATTATATTATAGAAGAAAGCTATCTTTTTACGTTGTCCCAATTTTTATTATCATCATAATCATCATCATTATTAATATATTTATGTAATAATAATAATAATAATAACACTAAGTATTATTATTATTAAATTGTTATAAGATACACATTATTATAAAACTGTTAAAACTGTTTTCAATCTAGAAAGTACTGCTAGAAATGTTTTCTTGAATTTATTCTTAAACCTTTGTTTTTCTTTATTTTACAAGAGCAAATTTGTACACTATAAAGGCACTAGATAAACTAGAACTAACTAGAAATCAGATAGTAAAAAAGAACTTAAGTATTTTTACAGCTGGAATGGGACAAAGGAAGAAATGAAATGAAAATAAAATAAATAAATAAATAAAACATTAAAAAATTTCCTTTCCCATTAATGTGTTCGAATGTGTCGCATGAATCCACTAACACACATACACTTAGCAGTTTATCTGAGTAACTGGTGTGAGGTGTATCTGGCGCTGCGTGCTGCTCTGCGCGTGGCCATCTAGCTCTGTCTGAGGCGCGTGAATGCACGAGTACATAGGCATTATCTTCATTTCCAGTTTCATCGGCAATTTACAGAATGCGGAGGTGAAAACGGACGGTCTCGCCGATCGAGGCACAAATCCTTGACGGTATATGCTGGTATTACACCAGTTAATATTATTTTTCTTATCTGAAAGCTGTTCCTGGGCGAGAATCACGCATGCATTCAAACAGAGGATTATCGCGGAGGAACTGCCTCGAAACCATGAGCTGCAGTTGGGGGACGGAGCTGTGGGTGAGTACAGCCGCGAGACACTGAGGCGAATGCATCTGAAAGATATCAAGCAACATAGTGCACAAAATGTTTAGGATCTCCATTAGTAACATGCATATGCCCATTAGTGACAGATAAATAGCCCACCGCACCACCCATTTTACAGTGATGCAGACCGCAATTTCCAGCTACTGTTACAGAAATCTTTCATTTAGCACCGAATCTTTTGCATGCACGTCTAGATATTTTAATGCAAGCAAATGCATGCTCTCTAAAGCTCGTTAAAGGCAATTATTAGCCGTCAGCATTGACTAAATACCCTGGATGGCAACAATGCTGGGCTAATACTGGCCCTAACCACATGCGAGTGAATGGGGCTGGAGCAGGTGCACAGGTTATTCCCCATCACATGCATGTCCTTTTTTCAGCTTTGATGTTGCAATGTGTATGTAATAAAGTAATAGTGTAATATTGTTGCACCGCACTTCTATTATGATCTTAAATATGTAATAGTTTCAAGACTGTCCATTGTTGGCTGTAACATCATGCAACCTTAACCTAGTAACAACTACAACACTATAATGTATGATAAAATATTTAAGGTTGTGTAGCCTGTGGTTAAACATCTGGGCTGGTAACCAAAAAGTTTAGACTTTGCAAGCTTACACTTAATCTTAATTTGTTGTAATATGTGTAGAAGAGACCAGGGAATGTGGTAATATGGGGTAAATTGTAACATCAGCAGTTTAACCAATTAGAAATAAGTTATGGGTGAAATCATTTTACATGGCCACCACCCTCTTCAGGTGACAGTAGAAGCTTGTAAGCCTTTGTAAAATATTATGAGGGTACTATTTTAAAAGGATTTATAGGACTAAAACCAAGTTTATATATAATTTGATTTGTAGTCATGTAAATGGATGTTAAGTGACAGAACTTGTATCATCTGAATCAGCAAGTTTTAATTTAATTTCATTAAAAGCCTTCCATCATCATATTTAATATATATAAATCAGGATTGGTATGGGATGGTATAAGAGTTATTTGAACAACCACACTAAATTACAGCATTCATGCATTAGTAGGTTATGACAACAATGCTCCTTGTAGTTGACAATAATTTAAGTTTAAGGAAAAGTTGATTTTTAAAATACTTTAATTTGACATCTTAACTGTATTAAAGTTTAAGACATTGTGCATTAAACACAAAGTTACAGACATTGAAAATGTTGCTGACTGTGGATAAAATAGTTAAATGACTAATAATAATAAGTAATAGACTGATCATTATTTAAACTGACTTTTTAAATGGTCAAATGCTCTAAAAGCTATATTATGGATGCCACAGGAGATTCAGATAAATATGTTTTGTAACAGTAACCTAGTGGTTAATAGGTTTCAAAACAAGTTAAATACTCTGTGATGGATGAAGTTTGTACTGTGTATATAGCGATAAGCATTAGGCATGTTACAGCTGGAGGGCCAGCAGTGCTGAATAATGGATCTGACACGTTGCCAGTGTCAGAGAATACTGCAAACTCGTGAAATGATATGGGATGACTTTGATTCTGAGGGTATTTTGATCTCTCTCCTTTGGGCCCTCTTTCACAGTTCTATCAAATCCATCAAAGCAAAATCTATCATTTTTATCTCCTAAAGTGTTCTGTTGGCACTCTACCTTCACTGCAGTTTCATATTTTGTCAATGTTATATGAACGTGAGACGCTCGAAATGGTTAGTCGTTCATATGTTAACTTTCGGTCTGATGTTTTTCTGTCTTTTGCAGGATCAGTTTGATAATTTAGAAAAACACACTCAGTGGGGCATTGAGTTTTTGGAACGCTACACCAAGTTTGTGAAGGAACGGTCTGAAATTGAACTGAGCTATGCTAAACAGATCAGGTAAGATAAAGACAGATTTGTGGCTCATATTTGTAGTTCTTAAAATGATAAGGTAATGTTATCATGAATTAGATGCTCATTTTTTGTCAGTTGAAGTTGTATATAGTGCTTTATGCAGTACAGATTGTTTTAAAGCAGCCTTTTTCACAGTAATACACAGAAAAGTAACTGTTAATGTTTCAAAATGCATCAATTCTGAAACAGCTTCAATTTTAGCTGTAAAGCAGCTCTACAGAAGACAACAGTGTCATTATTTACCTCAATTCAGATTCAGTGTTGATTCACTTCAGTTCATTAACTGTCAATGTTGCAAAGTTAATCAATTATGAAACCGCTTCAGAAAACAATAGTGTTATTATCCAGCTCAATTCAGTTCAAGTTTTTTTGTTGTAATATAATCAGTAATATTTTCTGAATGCAATAAAATATTAATAAATAATAGAATTTTGTAGAGGTGTAACCACAGTAATTGTATATATAATAATAATTTTTGGTGGAAATTCAATAAAAAAAATGAATGAACCATGTGGCAATTGCTATTTTTGAATAATCCAGTGAATTAAATACTATTTTGATCCTCACAGATTTGTGTATCACTGTATCAGCAGAGTACTTAACTGTCAGTAATGTATCAGTTTACTATTTCAGTCTGAATATACCGGATACCAGCCTAACGTATGATTCACAGTAAATGACAACTGAAGCATACAAATATTCAAAAACATGGTGTTTTATGAGGGCAAGGTATTATGTCAGTGAGAACAAACATAAAACGGGTCACATGTCCGACGTGTATTACCATGGATACTGGGTTTCCATGGCTCTGACCCACATTCTGTTATCTACCACTGATTCTGTAATATTTCTTGCTGGCTGCATTTTGGAAGTTTATTAAGCAGCAGTTTCCACTGGAGATGTTGACCCTGAGGACACCGGATGACTTACCGGCATCATGACATACGCAGAGAAACCTCAGCGTTTATAAGAAACCCCACAGCGGCGCTGCTCGCCGTGCAACAAACAGGCCCTTTCTGTTTGTATTTTCTGATCACATAAGAGAAAATCCTCTTTTCGTAGCCGTTTGCTCAATCCGTGCATTGTTGTTATTTTTAATAACTGTGTCAGACTGTATTTTGCTCTCAAGAAAGAGTCTTTAATTCACAACATCTCCCAGAGGCTTTTTTTTTGGTTCAGATCGCAGCCATGGGTGAAAGATTTATTAAGCGCTAAGCACATGTTAGCAGATAAACGGCATCAACATGGATCTGTCTGACCGAAGAATAATAGTCCTTTAAAAACCGCTGGGTTGGGTTATTCTAATGAGGATTTATTTATGGCTTTATCAACCTTTTTCCTATTTGCCGTTGCGTATTGACGCATAGGGCGGCCCATTTAGGCCAATCGTAGGGAAACTAGTAGACAATAAAGCAACTGCATCGGTGGGGTCTTGTCAAGAAACTGCAAGATGGTGATCTGCCTAGCAACACGTCAGACTCCTGGGAGGTAGCGTTGGGTGTGTGCAGAGAGAGGGAGAGATCGAGTG